GCCCTACGGCCGGCTCTACGGCCGCCCTAACCCTTCATTCCTGTTGCTGTTCCGTCCCTCCCTCTCTCGCGTGCACTCTCCGTCCTATCCGCTATAATGCTCCGTGATTGTTGTTACCAGAGATCCGACGGAAACCGACAATCCATTGATGCGGGACGCATGTCGTGCTCCGGCTGAATTTTATACATGTTTTATTTCGTCACCGGACGTGAAGGGAAAATGATGGCATTGAGTCAACATCCTGCGCGATTGATATTAATATTTACAAAAAAGCGGAAGAGGGGGGAGGGGAAGACTGTACGATCGTGTATCGAGAACGGTTATAACGCACATGCTGTCGCGAGAGCATATTATGAATGAAACGCATAAAGAGAAAATTATTATCATACTACGATATTACACTTGTACTTATCAAACGTAACTTTATTATAGATGATAAAATGTGTTTTTCTAATTGCTGTGAATGTCACAAGAATGTCCACAGCGATGTCAAGATAAAATATCGCTTGCTTGCTGTAAATCAAGTTCACAGTAAACGAAAAAATGTAAATTGCCCTCCGCGATAAATGTATATCGGCGCATTTAGGATTTCTATGTTCTCCACTGGAGATCTTGTCTTCCTTTCTTCTCCCATTCCTCCCCTTTCTACACACCGCGGAACCCTTTATACATCTCACCCCTACCCAGTGCTCATCCGGGGCTTCCTATTCCCAGGAGCTATTAGTCTAAACAATATGGCTGCCAAACGCAGCATACAATCGATAGCGAGCAAGGTATGCCAACGAGCTGCGTAATTTAATTAAGACTATAGCTGTTCATGCTTGAATACAGCATGTGCGTTTTTTGCATCAAATATTGAACGTAATGTAGCTTTGATAGCAACACGATATGACGATGTAGCAAGGTACTTTTTTACACCAGAGATAAACCTGTTATAACTAGCAAATCCTAGACACGTTCGTGAACGATCGATTATTATATCGTTCCGTAAAGAATCATAGATTATTTCGTTACAAATCTCTATCGATGACTTGCAGGATTTATCGGTCTGATTTTTCTAAGTTAACCATAGTGAAAGCCCACGATGTCACCAACGCGTATTTAGCTCCCTAATGACACCTCGCGTGTGCACAAAGAGGGATCTTTTGAGCGTTCCTTTCCCGCGGTGCAGTTAGAGGGAACGGAAATACCATCGGGCCCCGCATTAGGCAGCCAAAAGGTTAGCCGACAGCTCGTGGTTAGTGATTCGGCGAGATGGATTATTGGCAGTGCGAGGCGGAAGATTTTCGAAAGTCAAGTCAATCGATAAGTCCGTCGTCGACGACGAAGGCAGAAATACAAACGTGACAAACGATTCATTAGTAGTCGTTTAGTCTCGATCAACGAAAATGAAATGTGACTCAACGTAATTACACACTTAAGATAGCAAACATTCGATTGCGCATCCTCGAATGATCACGCTGGGCTTTATCGTAAACGCGATTTATCGCGCTTACGAGGCGTGTAAGGAAATAAAATTAATAACTATTGCCACAGGTATCCGTTACAATGTGGCGGAGTGTGTAATTACAATGTCTCGTCCGTCCTTATGGACAACATCAAACATCAAGATGTCAAACGATCCAGCCTTCGTCGTGTCGGACGTTACGCAGAGGCGCGTCGAAAAGTTGTACGAAACGATTGAAATAAAAATTAAAAAAATTATTAATGAGAAACTAGTGAGAGAGAAAGAGAGAGCTGGAACTGATGATCGGTACTCACCTTTCTTGGGGATCAAGGACTTGAGTAGCAGCACGGCGTTTTCGTCGCAAGCCCAACCGTGCATCTTCCGATAACTGTCGCGGCCCTTCTCGGTTAACTTATCCCAAGGTTTAGGTTTGCTAAGTAATTCGCTGACCGTACCTTGGCTCAGCCCGAGAACGTATTTGGCAAACAGTCTCTGACCGATATTGTGTATCGACAATAACTCGCGCACCCGCCTGGCTATGTGAAGAGTGTCAAGATTCTGAGAGGCGTACTTGTCCATATTATGACGTAACATTTCCTGCAGTCTCGCCTCCATAGGATCGCCCTTTGGAATGAGAGATTCGCCTAGCCGACCAGCCATACCAGCGGCACCGAACTCGTCGCCGAATCGGAAGGGATATGTTCGATCGTCAAACCGAAACGGACTTTTCAGCGTGTCCAGGACACTCAGACCGCCAATATTATTATTCGCCAGATGATGGCTATTATTATTATTGTGACATGACTCTTGGTCAGGTGGGCTCTTTGGAGGCGGTGCGCTTGGTACACCGGGCGTAAGGCCGCCACCATTGATGGAAGCCGAAGGAGTACTAGTTTCTACCATCGACGTCGGTGGCTGGAAGCTTGGCGGCGATGTCAAGGCGGTTGTGGATGATGGTGTCGGAGGTGCCGGTGTTTCGTGTCCCGATACCGGCGTTGGCGCTTTTTCAGTGATGTCTAGACTGCCCAAAGGTGTCGTACCAATTGGCGTGTTCGATTTCACTGGAGTGTTCGAGGTGGACGATGGATCCGCACCCGGTGATGGAAGATGATTTAAACTACTTGGCGTTGTTGGTGGGTGCAAACCTATATGCGGTTGGGCTTGTAATTGTTGCTGCTGTTGAGTTAACTGGCTTAATTGAGATGGCTGTGATTGTTGCTGTTGCTGCTGTTGTTGTTGCTGCTGCTGCTGCTGCTGCTGTTGCTGCTGCTGCTGTTGCTGCTGTTGGTTCATGATAGATCTTTCCAACGTCCGCCTCCAATTGGCGACAATTTCTTCACCGAGAAATGAGCCAAAGGTCTCGACGTTCTGGAGGGGTGGCGGGAAGAGGAGACTCGAAGTCGTCGAAGTGGCCGAAGAGGGCGTCGGGGTGGAACGTGGAGGGAGAGAGGCTGCTGTTGGAGGCGGTGGCGGTGGTTGCTGGGAGGACACATGGGACGTAGGTGGCACACCTCCGACCCCGTGGGGCGAGGCGGTTGAGGCGCGCTGCAGGGGTGACGATAATCCACCTGCAACCACCAAAAACACAAGGGAGCCCGTCAGCACGATCTCACGCGTACATGACATCAACTTAACTTTGGATCGCGATGTTGTTCCCGTTCTGATCGCTAATCCGTCCGCGCTGTCTCTTTTGAAGTGCGAAATCGACCAGTGACCTCGGCTCTCTTGATCATCTTCCGGGATGACGGATGACCGAGACTCTCTTTTTCGACGCTTCGTCAGATCATAATCCACGCTTGAGTGTACAAACGAGGAACGACGTGGACGCCAACGAGAGGAAGACTGTGGAGACGTTGCCGATTGCCCGGAAAGAAATCGTGGACGTAAAGATACCGTCCCTCTCGTGTTGAATGTTGATCGCGATGACACGCGCGGATTTGAGAAATCACGTCAAATAAGATGCAGTCTTTGTCCTGCGATGCGCGTAAATGTCAGGAATATCGCAGGATTGAGAATAAAAACTTCCTTCCTGTGACTGTCTGGGAAGTATTGTACGGTCTTTTATAGTATCATTGAAATTGGACTCGAGAAGGATTTTATGTTACCGCGTGATTTCAATGTTTGGAACCTTACGTAAAGACGATGACTCTTACTTCATTACGGTTGAAGGAAGCAATGATAGGATCGGAAAGATAGGAACGCGAGCGACGACGTAGAAGGGTAGGTTCGGTCGGTTTGATTCAAAAGGGGCGACACGTTGCAATATCTCTCTGGCTCTCTGCATGTATAGAGTGTCTCTTTCTCATTCCCTCTCATCGCGCGCTCTCTCTGTCAGCATGGATCGATTCATAATAAACTCTGTCTCCGAAACAATGGTTCGGCCCGGGCAAATATTGCGAATATCGTCCACAAATTTGCGTGCACGAAGTTTGCGTTTCCCAGTATACAAATGGTAGTAGGAGGGAGGAACGGTTTAGAGGACCCTTTACGCGGGCAAAAGAGGACATTTGGAACATTCGGTAATAGACAGGATAGGCCTATAAGAGAGGAAGAGAGCTAACGTGTATTCGATTGCGTTAGTACCTTCCACGAATGTACGTTAATATTAGCGAGAGAATGGCTCGAAAAAAGTGCAGCCTAAGCAGTCAAGTTCGAAGAGATGAAGTATGTATACGAGAGAGAAGTAGAGACAACAGGAATGATAGAAATGGAGATAGATTGGACAGAAAGAGAGAGACAAAAAGTATTAAAGGGAAAAACCAGTATAAGAAGCAGAAAAAAACAGAGAAATAGAGAATAAGAGAGAGAGAGAGAGAGAGAGAGAGAGAGAGAGAGAGAGAGAGACAGACAGAGAGAGAGAGACAGAGAGTCAGAGAAAAGTGCGAACACAATGGCAAGCAAGGTTATTTTTGTTGTTCTCTTTTCCGATAAGCTCCTTCAGTCATCCCTCGTTTATTCTATAGAAGCGTTCTTGCGTCCGCGTTGCGTGACTCGTGTCCTTTTCATTGTTACTCGATGATAAAGCCCGTCGACGGAGCCTCGAAGAGAGAGAGTCGGGGACCGAAGATCAGAGCGGTAGCGCAAGAATTAGAAGCGAGATCGTCGAGATGTGACCGACCTACCGACACCTCGTTACTTTTTTCTTATCTAATTTTTTTTTTAATTCTAAAAATTAGATATATTCCCTACATAATATTAATATATTTTTTCTAAATACTGTATAAATCATTGTTTTCATTCGATATTTATTTGCATGCTCTTGCACGATTAACCAACTTGTAATCCATATTTAAAAACAATATACTTGAGTACTACCACTTTTTCAAAATGAGACTATTTTTAATATAAATTTTATTACGCACTGAAAACTAATTAATCGAATTCTGCAATTTCGCGTTTCTACCTTTTTCTTTTATATCTTACAGTTAAAATTAAGTGCCTCGCATAGCTTTGCTATGTAACGATCTTAAATAAAGTATATCGCTGGTCCACTTACCGAGTGCGTCGGGTGTATTGGAAGATTTCAAGTTCTCGGCTTGTTGGAGCGCCTTGAAGCGTTCCATAAGAAGATGTTCTAAGCTCTTTCCTGGTTCGCCAGTTGGTATCTGCGAAAGGTCGACTGACCTCAATACACTAATTTCGCGCTTCAGGTCGTCATAGTCCCTCTGCCGTTCCAATTTGCTCTCCAGTCTGTTAATGTGTTGCCTGCGCACTTCGAGTTCCTCCTCGAGCCGCGCCGTTGCTTGCGCACTTGTCTCCTGGAGGCGTTGCAGGCTTTGTTGTAGCCTGGACACCTCCTCAACCAACTGGTTGATCTAGAAATAGCAACATCAATTGTGTGTAAGTGCCTGATAAAATCGTGTAAATTGCAAATCAATAAAAGTAACGCAATATAAATCAGAAAATCTTAAATGTTAATATCTCCTAATGTAATGTCTTACGCTCGTTATGTTTATTGAACGATACCGACGATAAAATTCCCGGCATTAAGGAAGACATCGCGCGCATATAAATCACAGGAATTGCTACTTCCTGAAATATCGCCGAGTACTTTCGCATCGCTCATCAGGAAATCGACTCGAAGCGATTAAATGGAGATGGAACGTAACTACATTATCATCGACGCAAATATAGAATCACATTTACGAGCTCCTCTCCCTCCTTCGCGATTTGCCTCGAGCATCGTTTATCTGGAACCGAACCTAGTAAGGAGCTTACCAGAAGCTCTTTATTAATTTTATCGGGAATATATACGGAAATCAATAGCGAGAACGCTTAAGAGAGGATAACTTTAAATCTTTGCGAGTCTGAATGTAATTACCGTGGATTAAATTACGTATAAAGTTTCAATCGGATCGATCGAATCGTTGAATTGTCATCCAATTATCGTATCGGTAATAATTTATGACATATGTCATCGCTGATTATCTCATCGCTTCGACACTTAATACTTGAAGTTTAATGAGATAATCAATATGATTTCATAATCATCTTGTTGTTAGCAGAAGAATATATAATTTTGTAAAAAATGATTGAAATCGATTTTCAAAAATCATATTTCTAGATAATTAGAATTAATAAACTTAGTGCTCAGTAGTTTCAAAGAAGATATTCAATTTTTTCTAAGCAATTCTTAAAGATAATTTGTGAGGATTGTCATCATAAGGCTTAAAATTGTCACAGAATACTAATTACAGTGGCGGAAAGAATTAAGTATAGTCCATAAGATAAAAGAAGATCAATGACATTTATACTCATGGTGTCGCCCGCAGCGACGGTATATGAAGTACATCCGTCCCTCATTAATGCATCATCGATCCGCACATAATAATTACAGTGCGACCGTACCGTCTTGTTTTTCCATCTCTATAACGAGGATGAATCCGGGATGTTGAAAGAATCGAGTGGCAGCAACGGCGGCAAAAAATTATCGCGAATAGAGCGTACGGCAATCGTTGTGTTGCCACGTTGTGCCGCAATCAATCGCGATGAATTGCGAGCACTCGAAACCTATCCACGTGTTCCGCGAGGGTTCACGTGGATGCGTGTGCGCGAGTATACGGAAATGGTGGGAAGGGCAGGCTGCAGGCGCAGGCGAAGAGGAAGGGAGAAAACCGATCAAAGAGAGGGATAGGATGGGACGATTTTAAAGCCGAGTACGTTGGTGCGCACGATGCAACGAGCTACGTGAACGAGATCGTATCAATTGTTTTTTCTCACCGAGGCGTCGTCTCTTTTTCCGTGCTCCGCGGGTTAATCGAGAAGCAACGACTTCAATTTTACAAAATTCGCACCTCTACGAGTATCGCAGATGTCGTTACGCGAGTTTTGCATCTCGGGAACTTGGATCGTTCCCCCTAATTAAATTTGGTTTTACAAACGAAAATTTTTTTCTCGATGATATTTGTCGTGCGGTGTTTCTAACGATAGTAGCGAATATATAACCGTACCGTATATCGATTGAGCTTTTATAATTTAATGAAATTAACTACATTCTTCTGGCGCCTTGTAACGCCATGACTCATCGCGGTAGCGGTAAAATCGAACAGCCTTGACGCACGCGGTAAACTTGCACGTTTTTACTCGTTAGTTTATTTATCGGGGGTGGCTACCTGTCGATTGTCCTCCGTTTCACCCATAATCGATACATGCTTACGTCCAGAAGCTTCATTTCTATTTGTGTAGATATATATGCGTGCGCGCGCGTGTGTGTGTATGTGTGTGTATGCGTGTGTGGCGATGTCATAGCACACATAAACACGCGCATACACATAGCAATATACAGGTAAGAATTGACGCGAGTGTAGATAAGTACGCATTGACGTTCGATATACCATCAGGTAGGAAGGGGTGGTTACTGCCAACGGTGGTGGCTTATGTAGGGATAAGTTTCCGAAGTTGCCGCGATCGCTCGCAATAATGTCCGCCATTAGTGGCGATGGGATAGGTTATCGCCATGAGGGAAACCTGAAACGGAGGACAGGTGGAATTAACACCACGTCGATCGACGAACTTACGATAAATACGACGACGACCCACCGTATGTGCATGTGAGCGTGTGTTTTTTTCACGCGACGGACACTCACCCCTCGCATTTGGTGTTGTGGAAGAGCGATCTACCGACTCCACCTTCCGTCTCTTGTGTGGCTACTATTTAATGATGCGAATAAAACAAGAAATTAATGTGATCAGTGCAAAATGTGACCATACATTTCTTCAATCAATGAACTATAGAGCGAGTAAAGCTTCGGAATGCAGAACCTACTTTAAACTTTCTTTTGATACATTTTATATGAAAGAGAAACGAACATAATATACTTCTATTGAACATAAATATATGTGTTTTTTAATTTTTAAAACATTCAGTTAATGTAACATTTTGATAAGGTCAATAATATATTCTCATATTACATAATTAATATGATATTAATATTTACATACATAGCAGTTTATTTTTCTCACATAAATAGTATTTATTCAGTAGTACATTGAATTTTAAGATAAAGCAAGATCATCTAATAAATCTTTTAATTTATTTGGCAAGTGGGTATATTGATTTTATATACTCATGCAAGCAAGATTTAGTCATAAATTATTTTAAATTAGCACGATCGATATTTTATAATCTGAAATATAATCTGACGGGTCATGATGGCAATGACAATAAAAAAATTTTTGTCATCTCAGATCACAATTAAATGGCTTATATATTGATAGTAATAATGACTATATACCATTCCGAGATGAACAACCGTGGATTCTTGATTGTTGCAACCAGACATCGTTTGCTATATTAAATTTCAACCTTGTACTAAATTCCACTTCCAGTCTAGTTCGCAAATAATTGTATTTTTATCAAAAAACGAAATTGCGCATTTTATCACCAAATTGAACGAAATTAAAAATCATTACATTTTTTTGATTTTTTTATATATAACAAGTTAATTAAATAATTAATTTTAATCATAAGTATGACAACATTAATTTTGTTATAGATAATTTTGTTATATTTAAAGAAATATTATTAAATAAAAAATTAAAAAAGAATTAATCGCGTGTAGCAATAAAAATATTATAAAGATATAATCAATAGTTTATTTCGCGGAAAAAGTTGAAGGGGAGGTTTCATGATAGAGATCATGAAAGAACTAAGAGCGAAGAATTATCATTAAGGATCGCAGTAAAGGGTAGCGGATGTTGGCAGGTTTTCTACGTTGGAACAATGTCATCGGTAGAAGGAGAACCGCTCGTTAGCGAGATTCTCGACTGCTGCAGAGCCACACAAAGTTGGTGTGCGCGCATAAGAGACGTACGTGTGGGAGGTAGTGACCAACGAGCAACCTCCAGCACGAAGGCGTCCAATCCGGGTGGTGAAGTAGGGGTGAGTTGAAGCAAAAACAATCGGGGCTTGATCGATGGTCGCGAGGTATGGCGACGAGGATGTGAAGGCGAGTCGGAAGACATGATCGGTCGTATGCAAATTAAAGCGAGGACGGTGGGCTCCGAGCTAGCTCGTAGGGAAGAACCGAAGGGTGCGAAGTCGAAGGGTACGCGCGGAGGGTGCGCGCAAGGGCTGCCTGTACGCGGTGGTGTCAAGCAAACTTGAAGTAGCCGCGTCCGTATTGTTTCTTGACCGTCGCGCCACCCCATTGCCTCCCACCTCCCTTTCCATGATCTCACATATCCCCTTCCCTTCGCAACCCCCTTAATCCTACGCGATTTTTGCTATTTGCATTATATAGGCGTCGGAGGCCTTTGTTTGTTGAGCTATTGATCACATTTTCTCCTGCGGTATAATCAATCTTCACGCATACGTCCACGGCCTTTCTCATCCTTACGTGTGTACACGCACATGTGTATGCGCGCACATACACGTGCGAATGTATATGCACGGACGCGGTGACTCGAGTAACGCGGCTCTCCGATATCCATACGCCGCGGCACATTAGAACCCCTTTTCGTATACGTACGTAGATTCGGTACAGGGACAAGATGGCCGTTTGCTTCGTATTAATTTCGTAGTCTGTCCGCCAATGATGCGTCGGTACGAGATCGTCATGGCCGTCGAAACTCACGTTCTCGCTTTCCGTGGTTTCACGGATTCCCCTTTCCCTACCGCGTCGCATTATCGTTTCCACGTGGACGACGGAAACGCAAATATAAATTGTCGTTACGTTCGAGATACTTTGATATCCCTTTGATCTATATCCATTACCTTGATGTATCTCTGATGAGGTCAAACATCGTAAAAATTAGACTTTAACAACTTGTTCGTTTATTCGATATGTTCTCGATTTGTATCGTGTTATGCGAGTTGGGGCAAACTTGTCAGTAATTACTTTCAAGACTAGATATAAGATTATAATCTGATTTAAAGATACGTATATTTTACTAAATGAATAGTAATATTTAGGGAATGAACTAAAGAAACTAAAAAACATGATCAGATTTAATTTCATGGTTACAATCATAAATTTCAACTGCATATATAATAAAAAAAATATACATTTATCATTTTATATTTCAGGAAGACAATAATAAAATAAAAATGTTAAGTCTATAAACATTTGCAGAAGCTCTTGTGAGTACATCTTACTAAGGAGCAACGATCCATAAAATTCGATGAATCTTTCATGCGCGAACGAACACTTTGTTATATCGCTCGATCCATCGCGAGAACTCGAATCCCAGTAGATCATGCCGGACCTTTACAGAATTTCGTCCTGGGGACCGATATTCGAGCGTAGGAAGATTCCATTTTTGCATCTCGGGAGGAAAGATCGCCGGTATCAACCCCTTTAGTGGCAAAGCACCC